AGCTATAGGCTATGTCACCACTTAAGTTTTTGTGATGCACATGAAAAAGAGCTCTTTCTATTCCTCCATATATTTGCTGTGTGCAAACTTTTTTCCAACCTAAAACTCCAATTCCCCTCTCACCTCTGCTTCCCAAGGACTATATTATCACTCTTCTTCGTCAATGATCCTCATATAAGATGAAGTTTTCAGAATATAATGTTTTAAGTGATACTGAGAAAGAGAACAAAGCTTTTATTTAAGAGTATTAAACTGGTATGCTGATGGCTGCTATCAATCACTTCTTTCCATGACAAAACAAGTAGTGAACCAGATGATGCTCTTGGAAATCCTCACATCTCGCTGACAGAGACCAAATCGACAACATATTCCTCTTTCCAGTATGTTTTCTTAATTACACACATTAAAAAAAAGGAAAAGAGGAAAAAGGAGGAAAAACAAACAAACAAAACAACATCCACCAACAAAAAAACATTTTGGAAATTCACACCTACAATATTCTCCTATGTTTTCAAATTAGTCAGAGAAGGAATGGCCACTGTAGGTAGAGATCACACTAAGTTGAAAACCTTGTCTCATCTGACAAAACACAGAATTCCAGTACCACAACCAACAAACATAAGTAACAAGCAGAAATATTTGCTTATTTTCTGGGATTCATTTGGTGAAAATAAGCAACTGAAGTATTTCAGGTTTCTGTAAAACATACAACCTGTTTTTACTGGCATACAAGTCTCAGAAAAGCTCATCTCTCCTAAAATATTTGCCTGCAGCAAAACAACTGAGACAGTAAGACCACAAATGAAAATGACAAACGAGGATTCTGGAATCATTCTAAATTTGAGCCATAAGTGACAAAGAGCAATCTAATTCTAAGAAGTTCATAAAGCTTTGATGTGCCAACTTCATTTCATGACTTAACTAAGTCTAACACAGTTGCTCCCACCACCAAGAGCAGGAACTTTCAAGTGGTTTGTTGCCTGCAGCTATTTTCTACAGGAGACTGCAGTAGCATGTAATATTCAAGAGAAGCTGTCTACATTACTTTATTTTTTTATAATTCAGTTGCTATTGGTAAGTTATACTGAGACAAAATAAACCTAGAGAGTATTTAACTGACAATTCTATTTACACTCCTTCCAAGTGGAAATTACTTCACTCCAAATGTTGAAAGACTTGAACATGCAAAGTTCAAACGTAATATATTTATGGAATTTTAGTTAGATTACCAACCAGCTAACTGAATACTCCAATTTATAAAATGAATGCTATTCAAGTAACATAATGGATTTTTAAACTAAGTATTTTAATAAGCTATGAAATAGCAATTTTTTGCAACTTCACAGAATCCGGTTTTTTAAAAATATAATAGCAATTTTTTGCAACTTCACAGAATCCAGTTTTTTAAAAATATAATCAAATATCACAGGATCCTTGATTTAAACCAACTCAAATTAATTCCTTTCCAGCTGCAAAACATCAAGACCTTATATCTAAAAGATGAGAACTACATAAATTTTTATCTTAACTTCTTAATACAAGTTTAACACATCCTTACACTGGTTATTGACTTTATTCAGCATTACCTTCTTAAAACTGTAAATGTATGAAAAAGTGCCAAAAGCGTAACTCTGGCCCAAGTACATAATTTGGAAGTTATCTGAAGGCTAGGACGTATCACAGAAAAATTAAAGTCTCTCTGATCTCCAAGTTCCATGCCTGTGGATTTTTTGGTTGGTTGAATTTAAGCTTATACAACAACCAAATTTAAGTTTACCACAGCTAACAATACAAACAACAGCAACAGAAATTCAGGGTTTTGCGTCACAGGTTGCACAAAGCTCACCTGTAGACAACACGATAAAATGTCACTGGTTCTGTCAAGAAGGACCAACATGAGCCGTATGAGTTACACAGCACGATCTATTTGTCAGAGATGGGATTAAATTAATATTTTTCTCCTTTGTATAACTTCAAAGATATTTAGTCTTTGGTTAATCAGAACAGAATGGGGATTCCAGCCCGTACACCTCCAGGTCTTTCAGCAGCAAAAAATATTCCTATTTATGCTAAAAACAAGGCAGCTCTCACACCCTGTTTCATTTAGCAATGAAACTGTTATCATGCCATAAAAGTAAACAAACTATGTTACCCAATAAAGAGCCTTATACCAGATCTGTGGTACTGACTTTGGACTGATCACCCGGAAGACAGATCCACAAAATTATGAGTTGAGGATAATAATAACAAGTGATACCAAGATGACGAAGATTAATGATGGTCAATTGCACAGTCACTTGTGGTATTTATTTCTTTGCACACTATCAGCCAGCCTGCACATGGATAAGTCTTGGGAGAGTTCAAAATCAGATAAGTACTCCAAGGAATAATACTAAATAGATTACTGATTTAAAGAAAAGAGACTATGAAAAACGGAAAAAGCTATTTCGAATGACCAAGGACTACAAACGAGATAGAAGTAATGAATCACAAATCGAGACGGAACTGCCAAGAGTTAACAGGGAGCCTTCTGCTTGGAGAACAACACCTCGCTGTAGGAAACGCTAGGAACTCTCAATCTTGGTCATTTAAAATAGGATTCAACAAAACTCCCAGCGAGCACAAAAGCGTGGTGCAACGCCTTCCAGAGAAGCGATCCAAAAGGCGCCTTCCTGCGGCTCCCCCCCGGCAGCCCGGGAGCCCGCAAGCGGGACGCGGGGCGGAGGGGCCCGGCCGGCCCGGAGGAAGCGGCCGCCTCCCGCGCGGCGGCGGCCAATGGGCGGCGGGCGCGGCCCGAGCGCGGCGAGCAGGCCCGGCGGGGCCGCCGTGACGCACTTGGGCAGCCGCCCGCCCGCCCGGGCACGGCCCCCCCGCACCGCACCGCGCCGGGCGGCGGCCCCGCCGCGCCGCCAAAACGCGGGGTCACACCGGCGGCTCCGGCGCCTCGGGACACCGGCACGCCAGGGGGTGTGTGGTTCGGGGAGCGCACGGGAAGGGAGAGCTCTCGAGCGCGGACAGGGCAGGCGGGGCTACCCGGGCTGCCAAAAAGTAATTAAAAAATAAAACAAACGGAAAGAAACCTCAAACACACACACACACACAAAAAACCAACACCAAACTAAACAACCAACCGCCCACTCCCCCTCAGTAACTGGAACACCGGACTCGGCGGCGATCGAAACTTTGTGTCACCTCCTAAAGCCGCATCCCGTGGGAACACAAGAAAGGAGAGCCGGGCCCAGGCAGTGTAATAAATAAATAAAAGCAGCGACAGAGGGGCCCGATCGCTTCCACGCCCGCTCGCGGGGACGAGGAGAGAGAAAAAAAGAAAGAAAAAAAAATTTGAGGTCGGTGGGTCCCGGATTTCCACGGGGCAGACGGATTATACAACGCTGCCAGGAGAGAGGAAGGCATGGAGGCAGCGCGGCCGGGAGCAGAGCGGTGCGGCCCCTAAGGCCAGCACGCCCAGAAGCACCAGGGATGCGCTCGGGCAGGGAGAGGAATTCCCGGAAAACAGGGCCTGCCGGCCCGGCCATCTGCGGCCGCTCTCTGCTCTGTCCCTCCGTCCCTAACCGCAGCAACCATATATGCGTATATACACACACACACATATATAAATATATATATATGTTTCTTTTTTTAAATCCGTGTAGAGAAAATAAGCGCCCAGAAAAGAGAAACACCAGGAAAGCTCTCGTTTCCTACCTGGGCAGGGTTCAGCTCAGTTCAGTGCGTGCCGAGGAGGAGGGGGCAGAGAAGCACTATCTAAAACAAAAGTGGCGCCAAAACCCCCCAGTAAGAAGCATTCTCCTTCCTCCTCCTCCTCCTGCCCCCCTCCCCCACCGGGGCCGGCGAGAGCCCAGCGGGGTTCCAGCAACACGCGGCTCCCGGCATCGGGCGTCCCCGGCACAAGTTGGCAAGCGCCCTTTCTTTACAAAAAAAATAAAGGAAGCCGAACGGAAACTGCCACAACTCTTCCTCTTAGCGGACAGCAGCCGAGGAGCTCGGCCAAAGTCACTCGGAGGGGAAAACTCGACCCACAAAGGCCTTCGCCGAGCAGGGCGCCGGGGCGGGGGGGCAGCGAAGGGAGGCGGGGGGGGGGGGAAGGTGCAGGTCAGTCCCTACCTACGTCCTCACCCGGGCCGAAGGAGCCCCGCTTCCGCCAGCCCTCCCATGCAGTCACGGGGAAGGGCGGCCAGAGTTCCCCCAGCTCTGGGAAGAGAGACTGAGGAGACAAGCCCCGATCCCTCGGCACTTCCCTGCGCGGGGAACCCGCCGGGAGCGGGCTGGAAGGAAGAACTCGGCCACTGGGCAGCGGGGAGCAGGGGGAAGGGAGCCGTGGCGAGCGCTGTCAGGGGTGCGAGTCCCCGGCCCACGGCCTCCTCCGACATTCGACCCCGGGGCACCGGCAGCCGCCCCACCATTTTCTCTGCGCGGCCCAGCGCTGCCCCCGAGCGCGGCTCGGGCCCCGACCCCGTTCCCCTCGCCTGCCCACCCGAGCGGCCCGGCCCGGCTCGCCCGCACACACACCCCACGCACACAATGCCCGAGTCCTCCATCTTGCCGGCAGCCCCTGCTCGGCTCAGCAGAAGGGGGGAGGAGGAGGAGGAGGAGAAGGCGGTTCTCCATTTTAGCTCGCCGAGCGCCAGGCCCGGCCTGCCCGCGGCCGGCTCTGGGGAGGAGGAAGGGGGCCGGGACGGGCAGGGGGGCCGCTTTCGGCGCCCTCTCGCTCTCTCACTCGCGCTCCGCTCGCCTCCCCCCTCCCCGCCGCGGCGCGCCGGGAACGGGGGGTGGGGAAGCGGGGGGCTGGAGTGTTTTCGCGGCTCGGCCCCGCCGTCCTCCATCTTGGCTGCGCGCAGTCCCCGCGGCCAGCCGGCCTGGCGCCCCGTGCGGGCCCGGCCGCCGCGGGCCCCGGCCCGGCCTCTCATCGCCGCCGTGCACCGCGATCCCGCGTCCCCCCGCCAAACTTCCAGAAGCTTCGCCGCCATTTTCTAACTTACCTTGCCCAGTGTCGGCGTAGGCAGCGAGGAGGCCCCGGCGCGCAGCTCCGCTCCCGTATCCCCGGCGCGGCTCGCCGGCTGCGCGCCCGTCCCGGCCGGTGCCGGGCTGTGGGCGCGGAGGGGGCGCGGGGCGCGGGCGGGTCGGGGTTATTTAATTTGGCGGCGGCGCTGGGGATTGTTTGGGGTGTTCGCTGCTCGGCGGCTCGCGGGCGAATGGAGGGCGCAGGCGCCACCTGGCGGCCGCCCAGCGGGGCCCGCTCTCCTGGGCGTGGGGCGACACCTGCCGGCCGGCCGCGGCGGCGCGGCGCCGAGCGGGGTAAACAAGGTGCGGCGCATGCGCGGGGCGGGCCCGGCACGGGCTCGGCGGCGCGGCCTAAAAAGGAGCGGCCGCTCGGACACGGCCGTCCCCGGGACGCGCCCGCCGCTCGCAGCGCCTGGGCTCTGCCGGAGCAGCCCTGCGGTAATTGGACGTGATTGTTCGGCTGACGTGAAGCTGGGCTTTGCCGTAAGCGCCCCGCGGAGCCGGCAGCGCAGGGCTGCCCGCGCTGTGCCGCCGGAGCCGGGGCTCGGGCGATAATCGCGGGCTGCCCTCACGGACGCGGGTGCCTTATCTCGGGAGCTGCCGGGCGCGGAGACGTGAGGGCTGCTGGCACCCGCCGCAGCATTCTCCAGAAACGCTTTCCGCTCCTGCCCATCGCCCTGTGTGCTCAAGTTAAATGAGCGGGTGTGGGATTCCTTTTTTCTCTTATACGAACTAAAACGATCCGTATAAGCAGTACAGAATTCTTGAAGTAACCAGATGTACAGTTTGTGACGCCTGGGTTTTTTTGGGGTTTTTTTTTTTTCACTTTATTGTGTAATGCTAAGCACGTTGCTCATGCTGAATAGTTCCACGTACGATTATATTTAGATCAGTCAGCACAATAATACTTTTGTCCTGGTAATTAGGCTCTAATCACCCTCTTGTGTTTATCTACTTATACTTTTGGGGACAGCGTTAGCATAACTAAGCAGTCGCTAAGCTGTGTTACTCTGCTCACCTGCCTAACAAAGGCAGGGTATTTAAGAGAAGAGTATCTACCAGTACCAGTCTTTTCAAAACTTAAGATGAGGCATCCCACAGAGAAAATAACGCTTACAATGGAAACTATGATCAGATTAGCAGTGTTTAAAATAAAATTTTAAAAAACCCACTAAACCCCATGTAATGTAAGTTGATGACACCTATGAATTCTAGATACAATCTATGGGTACATGAGACAGGCTTACAAAAATAAGTTCTGTAGCTTGAATTTGCATTTCAGAATAGTTTTGCACCTTCTGTCAAGTTCAGGGGAAACAAAAAAAGCAAAAAAACTGCCTTGCAGGGAACCCTTTAAAATAGCATCCTGAATGCCCAGTCATACAATCATGTTCACGGTTTCAATTACAGCTACAGGTGCTGCTGCTGATCTTTAATGTTAATCTGACAGTGTCTGGAAAATGTAGAAGAATTGTGTATTTAAAAAAAACCCCACCAAACTTAATGTAAGCCTTTAAAATTATCTATATTGTTATAAAACGACACTTGGGAATAGATGGAAATGAGCTGGATTCATTTATGCCTTTCCCATACAAAGTCAGCCTCATACAGCTGCCAAGATAGACAACCTTTCCATAAAAATAAACTACAACATTTTGCCTGCACACAGAATTCCACTAATTCTGGAATTATCAGTAATGTGTCTTCTGCTTGAGATACAATAGAGATAGTTCATATTAAAACTGTGATCCAAAACTTCACAAGATTAAGCAGTTTACTGCAGGAGCCAGCAGGAACACGAGGCAGCTCCACTCAGCTGTGCATGGAATACATGTACAGCACGTGTATTTCGTTCTATTCCAAAAGCACTGTAGTTCACACTTGAGCTCCCAGCTGGGAGGTTTTAGGTAAATGTGCTTACCTAACATGAAGCAAACCTGACATAGTTTTTAAGGTGTGGTTTTGAAGGAATGAGTGTGCAAGCACTGACAATACTGTGTCAGAGTCCAGCCCGTTCCCAAAGCTGACTCAGGCCTTGGAAGCCCAGACCATAACATTTCTGTGTGTCCTGACTCACACGACAGAATTTGCTTTTTTCTGCTTGTGACAAAACATGGAAGTGCTCCAGAGACCAGACTCCAGGTGCAGCAGCACATTACAAAGCCCTGGTCTCAGAGCCTGCCTAAGAGGATTTCGCACTTCCCGGTTGGATTTCCTCCCTCGCAGTTGTTTCATTCAGCTGTTTGCTCAGCCCTGTCTTAGCAAAGCTGTTGCCTCATCGGAGAAGGGAACAGGGACATTTGTTTTCTATGGTTTGACTCCCACCCCCGAGCCCAGATCACTTCTCTGAGCTGTTCCAGTACAGCTGCAGGAGCACTGAAGTCAGCACAGCTGAAGGTGCTGAGGGCTGCGCTGAGGCCCGGAAAGTTTCTGCTCTGCTCCAGTGACCAGAAGACAGGAATTTCTTAAGTCAACTGAGCCTTGTGAGGATTCCTCACCCTTAAGGGGGTCAAACTGGCTCTCTGAAGAGCCCAACTCCTGCATTTTCCTCATGAAGAGATCGTGTTTCTGGGACTGAGACTTCCAGTTGGTACAAAGCAGTTCCTCTGCAGGCACACCACTTCTTTCTAAGATACCAGTTCCAGAGTGGGCTTCTACCATCGGTTCAGACTTTGGGAAAAACAAAGACCATCCTGAAGTTTCTGTATAGTTTTAGCATAATAGCATCCTTCCCAATACAATGAAAAATGTAAAAGAAAAACAAGTGCTATCTATCTAAGCATGGTAAAGAAAAAGAGATATTTTAAATTCTGACCTATCTAGAAAGGATTTATAGAAAAGAAGTTCTGTGAAAAACTAGGAGAAAGTATTTCACAGAACTATGTCATCTTTTTCAAAAAAACTACTCTATAGGCACTTCAAATTCCACCATTTCTGATATTGAGCCCAATTTAGAGAGGATTTAACAAAGACTTTACGGGCACTGTTATTATGCTTGATCCAAAGAGAACTTCATGATCAGTAACACAGGAAACTGAGCAAGGAGAGGGCAGATACCAATTCTGTGTCTGAATTAATGACCAGAGGTTCACCATGAAAGAAGTTCAGAATAAGCTCAAGCTGCCAGATGGCTGATTCATTTTCCCAGGCAGGAGATTCATGCTCATGCTGCTTCCTTTTCATGCTTCTTCCTTTTCTTTCTCCTGCAGAATAGGAAGCCCCTCTGCAGTTCCATTTCCTTATTTGTATTATTTAAAACCCCAAATAAACAAAACAACAAAACAAACAACAAAAACCCCAAAATAACAAACAACAACAACAAAAACCCACCAGCAACACACCACCACCCACAATCATTTGTTTATTTAAAGACTTTTCTTTTGAGAATTGGAAAAAGAAACCAGAATTTGTATACTAGTGGGGGGGTAGCTTTCATGGCCTGTATCGAATAAGCCATGACCTGTCTGTTGAGGTACAGAGGGAAAAAGCAGTCTTCCCAGTCCAATTTTTTTTCCCAGAATTTTGAATCTGGCTTAGTCACTCCAGGGAAATCTGCTCTAAATCCTTTTGAAGATGAGCTATTATGTAAGAAACAAAATTAAAGACCAAAAAAATGGGTTACTTTCCCATAATTTGCAGGAGATTGCACATTAGCAGCTCCTTAGGTCTTTCCCTGCTCTGTGAATCATTTCTTCCTTTTTTTTTTATCTAAGTCTCCCTTGTGTGCCCCTATTTCTGACCAGGTCTTTCCAGAACACTCAACTCATGTCCGAATTTTCTTTGATTCAGTAAGTTTCTGCCTGCTCCTTCTGTGAAGGAGCACAGAATCACTTTGTCCCGTACCACTACAAAGGAAGGAAGTTTTAACTCCCCTTCATCATCAGCTCTAAAAATGAACAGAATTCCAGTAAGTTGCAGATGTCTTCCTGGTAATTGCATTATGAGCAGCAGCTTTACTTAGTCTCCTGCGCCACTTGTTACCCAAAGCCATGAGCTCCCCTGTTTGAGTGAGGTACTCTTTCTGTGTCTCATTCTTTGAGCTAAAAATCTCTTAGCTGGATTCTAAAGTTCCATCAGCAGTTTTTGGTAGGAAACAATGAAAAGCCCTTCTCCTGGCTGCAGTCAGGACAAGTCCTTTCACTTGAGGCATCACCTCACCTGGGTACAGGAACAAGTGTTCCAAATCAGGCCGCCTCTCTTGGATTTAGGACACAATGTGCTCCAGTTTCCAGATGTGGGGAAGTTTGTGAAGACACAGGCAAGAGATTATTTGTGTTCTGTAGCTAAGTCCAGGCAGAGGGACCATGAATCCAGGTCCATTTTATGAGTCAGGCGCTGTGACAGCACCAGTGACAAAGGCTGAGGAGGAACCACAGGAACCAGAGAAACATGTTTCAAACTGGGTAAGCCAGGTAAGTGGCAGGGCCCCCTTAAAGGCAGCAAAGAACAGAGTGTGTGACAGAAAAAGGGCTGGGGTAGCAAGCTGCCAAGAACTGAAATCAAGTCAAGCAGGCCAAACAGCACAACTGATGCCAAGCAAGGGAAGCAGCTTTAACTGAGAAACAGCTAAAACCCGGTGAAACTATATCATACTCTGGATGTGTAGGGCACCTAACCCATCAGGAACACAAAGCAGCTCTCAGCTGGCCAGAGCTCACAGGGCTCCAGCCCCCCTGAGAGTCTGATATGGAGCAAGGGGGAGAAAGCCAGCCTAAAAAGGGGAGAAGGGAGGCTGGCTTGTGGTTAGGTGAAATTAGAGTGGAAGTGAGACAGAAACATTATTCAGCTCAATGTCTGCCCAAGATCATAGAGCAAAACAATTAGGAACAACAAAGTCAAATACTTTCGTGTTTAAGTTCTGAAGAAAATCCCCTATCAAATATATGGGACAGCACACAAGGTTTGGATGATGTACCTTGGTCTTTTCCCCACAAATCACCGAGGCTGGCACTTAGGGGCTTAAAGGGGAAGTCTAGCCAATGGGGGGTTGTTACTGACAGATAAGGTCAAGGAACAGATAACTCTTCCAGATTAACTTGTATGGTTTTCTGGGGCTGACCTACTACATTCCCAAGGTCCTCTATACATGTCTGTCCCTCACACAAATTTCCTTTTGTTTAATTTTCACCATCAACCAACTTTAAGGTTTCTTTCAGACTGTGTTTCTCACAAATCACTCCCCTACTGCCAGTT